GCACTTTCATTAGACCGCGGAACTTTATGCAGAATAAATCACATTCAAAATTAATATACAAAATGAAACCTAAACAGGAATATGTTTCACCTTATGAAAATAACGATACATCATTCACTTTTGCTATTCTGAACATCACTGGATATTCTATGCACATTTTATACGATCTTCTTACTAATGCATTTTGCAAAAAATGAACGAAATAGATTAATAAAATTATTTTTATTTATTATTATATTATATTTAATTATATAAAATAAGATGGGAACACGCTATCGCGTGTACACTCATGGAAACGATATAGACCACGATTAAAGGTACTCTAGAGAAGTTAGAATTTAAGTAAATTTAATATAAAATAAATAAATAAATGTTATTTATGAGAATTAGTGTAGTAAATAGTATTGTATTATCCTAGTCCGTTTCTGGGCCCATGAAGCCGAAATTAATCTTTATATACAGGATGTCCCAGAAAAAGTGTTAGAACCGAGAAGGGGTGATTCTGGCGGTGTTTCTGAACAACAATTTCCTTTGGTAAAATGCACAGTGAGTTTTTCATTAATAATTCAAAAACCATGCCTCACTTTGCATTTTCCCAAAGGAAATTGTTGTTCAGAAACACCTCCAAAATCATCTCTCTCCTGAAACACCTTGTACATACTAATCCATCTTGTAATTTAATTACTACACAAATATTTTCCTTCTTTTATTTTTGCGGATCAAAGCGTTTCTGTAACGCGATGAATAATATTTAATGAGAGACTCTGGTACGACAGGTGACACGAATACGGTCAGGGAAATTGGAGTGGTGTGTAAGCAGGACTCCACGTGGCGTACCGTTACCGAACCCGTCACTGTAAATCAACCTTTAACGCGGACTCGCAGTCCTTTGACCCTAATAAAACAAGCCGCGGTGCGCAATCATGCTAATCGGCGCGATAAACGAATGGCAAAAACAAATGGAGTCGGTGCACCGTAAAAGGAAGTGGCACTGCACACGTTTATCACACGGGTCTCGTTCGAATCGCCGCTTATCATGCTATATTTCAAACGCAATATCGATACGCCCGTGGAATCATTATCATACATTCTGTATTCTGTAAATGGACCGGAATCATCTATATTTATTTCATTATTCAAAATGAATTCGACTGCGAAATTGCACGTGCATCAAGTGGAAATCACAGAAATATATGGTAAAACAAAAGATGAACGTATTCACGGATATAATAGGTTCTCCAAAATCGTTACCAATATCGAACAATCTCGTTTCATTTCGAAATTTCACACAGGATATGGAATTCGACACTGCACAATCGCTCCCATTAATTGAATAACTTTTTTAATATTGGATTAAACTAATATTTTTTGACGCACTAAAAAGCGTAATTTACTACACAACGTGTAACAGAGAAATAAGAGAAATTGCTATCTGTCGAAGTCTCGAATAAAAAAGAAAATATGATTATTAACTTTTTTCTTAGAGCTTCTAACAAAGGAACTGAAGTACTTTGTGGAAACTAGGAATATTTGAAATAGAATTCGAATTTCTAACTAAGGTGTTAGAATTTTTAAAATATATTTATTTAATTTTACACAATTTTACTCAATTTTGTTAATGAAGATAATTCATATTTAACTGATTAATCAATGTGGTTGTGATCTTTTATTCTTATTGTTTTATCTTATATAACTTTATAATAATAAAAGTATTCATCTTGCGTTCGCATATTGTATCTTTCTATTTATAACAGACTATAAATAATTCCAAAGTAAATTATCACCTCTTATAATAAAATCTTTCAATTAATATCATAAATAAGCAAGTTTACTTATATTTTTTATTGTATGTAGCGATAAATGGTATGGTTTCGAAGAAGGAAGGAAAGGAGGCAATCGATGGACTGTGTAATTCACGGTGGCACCCGGATAATAACGTAACTGCGGGCATGACTGTTGGTGAAAGCATCGCGAAGCGAGTATTCTGGTCGTAATATCGCCGCATTTATCGCTATCAAAGTGCAGAGGCGTGCTATTGTAAAGGTTGCACCTAACCTGCGATCGTGCCTTTAATAGCAAACTAATAAATAGAGACTTATTACTCTTCCTACCTCTTAGCTCACACGAACATTCATTATTATAGAAAGCTCTTTTGAACCTTAACAAACATTAGCAATTTCGTATGAGAAAAAGATTCTAATTCAGGCTTGTCAATTTCCAATCAATTAATCAAAAGTAGAACCTGATCCTACTTCGTTCACTAGCGACCTTGAATGAAATGCAGATGGAAATATCTTTACACCTTTCACTGTGGATGAATCATTCGGAATGCACACCTCAAGTGAACAGCACAAATTCGTTGAGATCTTTCATATCATTCTTCCATAAGAAATTTCTAAACGCCAAAACAAATTAACAATGTTAAATGAAAGAACAAAACAACTATAGTCTCATAGAATAGTTTGCAATCATTTTTCTATCTCTCTACTCATAAAAATATTCTATGAAAAATGCTAGAACAGAATTAGCTAAACAAAAAACGTATGAGTGCTACTCCAGCAGTAACTCCGCGAACAACGGGTGATACTCAAAGCTGGGAAGCAGCCGCGTTGTACGAGAAACTGTCAGGAAACTCGAAATAAACAGAATTTGCAAGCGGGATCGCGGGTAGAAACGGGGCTGTGCGCGAGGCCCCTCGAGAAAAGTTTCCGCGCTCGCGGCCGATTTATTTTCGCGCTCTTCGCGAGACCGAATAAAACGAGCACGCTCTCCTTGTATATCTCTGGCCCCGATGATGACATAACGCGGCGTTCGCTTTTTGCTTTTTTAAACCGTTACAAGTTTGTTCAACAAGCTTTTTCTTTCCTTGGTGGAAATTTTCACGCAAGCGAATCGCAAGATGAAAAGAATCGTCGACCCGTAATTAACCGTACTCTTTTTTCTCAACTGGCGTATTTCGCCAACGAGTTTTTGATCAATGCAGTAAAAAACTGGTATTTGATAAGAACATTTGATTTGAAAAATGATTTTATGTATACATCGTACTTAATCCACTACTACTAATGAACATTTGTATGTGTGTCTGTGTCTGTGAGTTTCCGTCCGCTTTAGCAAGGACAACCCGCCCGGAGGTCTAGCTGAGGATGGCGTGCCTACGGCACGCCGGGAGAATCTGATATTAATATTAAAACTTTGTATACCTTCATTTACTATGTTATTAATAACACTACTTAACTGAATATTATTGAGCGAAAGCATCCTTCAGAAATAATACGAGAATTAACATTGAAAAAATGATGAATATTTTCAAATGATACTCACGGTTACAGAATAGTCCACTCTGTTCCCACTTGCCAGACGAATCTGTAAATCAAAAGAATACAAAAGTTAGACAACGAAATTCGTCTCTACTTAAATATAATATATTTATATAATTATAAAACAGACAATTTATGTCACGAACTCTGCATGGAACGCATAAAATGCAGACATCAATTGTATAACAATTGAATAACACTTCATGAATGAATTAAATAAAAGAAATTGTTTAGAATGCATTTTCTAAACTGTATTATCATAAATGTACTGTTTTGCAT